AGCCCTCAGTCTCCCAGGGAAGCCTCCCTGTGATCAAAGCAGCCTTCCTGAGAATGGAGACATCGCATTCAGATGGCCTTGTGTTTTCCACCAACAACCCTTTCATATTCTGCATTTTGAGAAGAAGTAGGAATGTTTTGTTAGGAGGCTGGAAGGGGAAAAAGAAGCCAACAAAAGAAAGTGTTATCAAGAAGAGTAGTTAGATTAGCCCATGAATTAGCCCATTAAGTGAGTTAACCCATTAAGTGAAGACAAAGGAGGCCAATAGATTGTAGGAAAGTGGAGAACTCTCAGCTCAGTGTGTGTGTATGTGTTCATCAGGGTCCAGGGGATGTGCCCACCTACAAACTGTGCTTCATTCTTCCATACCCTTTTCAATGTTCATCAGTCACAGATAATTACCATATTTTTCTGTATACAAGACACATACACAAATACCTTTCACATGTATATAAGCCGCATAGCACACATAGGAAACTAGCGTGAGGGCATTGCAAGATTGTAAACAAACAAAAAAAAACAACTAAAAAACATTATTTGCATAAAACAAAAAGCACTAGAATTTTTGGCTAGTTAGGGTGCAGTGTAGCAATGACCATACAAACAACTTTCCTCGAGTTCTTAAATGCTTCCCCCTTTCCCCACCCCCGACTCTCATGATCCCAATTCTATCTTACAAATCTAGCTAGACTAGAGGATGTACACTGGTACAGATAGAAACTGGAAGCACAGAGAAACCAGGACAGATTAACCCCTCAGGATCAGTGCTGAGAGTGGTGATAAGCAGGAGGGGAAAGGGAAGGTGGGGTAGAAAAGGGGAACCAATTACAAGGATCTACATCTAACTCCTTCCCTGGAGGATGGACAACAGAAAAGCTGGTGAAGGGAGACATCAGATAGTGTAAGACATGGCAAAATAATAATAATTTATAAATCATCAAGGTTCTTGTGGGAGGGGGAGGAAAGGGAGGGGAAAAATGTAGAGCTGATACCAAGGGCTCAAGTAGAAAGCAAATGTTTTGAGAATGATGATGACAACAAATGTACAAATGTGCTTGACACAATGGATGGATAGATGGATTGTGACGAGTTGTATGAGCCCACAATAAAATGATTTTAAAAATATGTACATACTGGATTTTGAACACTGTATAGGATAAATAATGCAAAATGCCTACAAATGTTTAAAATATATTTATATTCAAATAATATTTGGAGTTATTTAGAAAAATAAAATAAATTATTAAAGTTTATTTCACATCTTTTTTTCTAATGCTGTCTACTAATTTAAAATTAACATAGACAATTGTGGTATATTTTTACTGGGCAGGGCTACTGTAGACCATGATTCCCTTGAATTCTCTTATCAAAGTCTCTTCCACAGATCTGTCCAGCCAAGAGTAGATGCCTCAATGATATGCACAGGCCTGGGGGCAGGGCATGAAAGCCATGGATAGACCCACAGGCTAGGGTGTCCAAAATATACACAGCTGAGGTCCATGTCCGTGTAGGACAAAGCCAAGGTTAGGGGGCAAAAAGAACCAGTTGGAAAAAGATGTCTCACAAACACTAGGGACAGGCCTGAGCTCTGGGTAAAGGCGATTTAGAGGAGGTCAAAGAACATGTACAATTATAGGAGATAACAATGGAACAGCTGAAGGAGCAAGCATGGTGGTTAGCTTTTATGCTGAGGATACCCAGAGTATGGCTAGGGTAAAGGGGGGTAAGGTGTGGCTAGGTGAAAGGGAGGGATTCTAATTGCTATTAGAAGTTGACAGCTAGTTTATTTCTGAAGTAGGAAGTTGATTATTTTGTCTAAGAGTTAGAGGGAGAAAAAATGGTTAGAATAGAACAAGATTTACAGAAAGTAATATGTATTTTTATTGCAATATCCATGACTTCATAGAAGTCAGAAGTCAGTCCCTGCTCGCTAAGTAATGAGACCCAGATTCTACTGAGGCAAGGAACAGAGCTGTAACTACTGAGTCTGGGCACAGAGTATTAGAAAGTAGGGACTCTGGCTCATTTTCCAATCTGTAGCAAAAATGCAGACTCAATCATGGAAAAAAAGACAGACACAGAGTTACCAAATCTGGATACACAGCCAAAGTTGCTTGGGTGCAGAAAACTTGATGCCCAGTCTGGCGAGTGAGGGGGATTTTCCTCAGTCTCTCCTGACAAGGCCATTCAAGGTGAAGTGACCTCGGTAGCGCAGAAAGCCTTGCTGTAGAAGCTGAAATCCTGGCAGGACCTGGCAATCCTGCAAGATAAAACTGACATATGTACTCATGTCAGCCAAAACCTGAGTAACAGCAGATTAGTGGTATCTTTATTGTAGGATTAAAGGTGCTGTGTCTGGGGCATTGGGCTGCTGTGAGATTGGGGATTCAAACCCACCAGTTGCTCCATGGAAGAAAGATGAGGCTGTCTACTCCCCCAGAGATCTATAGCCTCGGGAACCCTATAAAGGTTACTAAATTAGAATTGACTTGATGGCAGTGGGTTTTAGAAATGGAATTAGCCAGCTGGAAGAAGGAAAGTGGGCTAGCTTGGTATGATCTTGGATAGGCCACTTCTCTGTAGGGTTCAGCTTCTTTTTGGAAAACCAAGGAACTGGTTCGGATGATCTATTCTGTCTCTATTTTTTTTTCCTTTATTAAATTCGAAGCAAACAAGGAACAAAGTATCACCATATTTCTCCTTCTAAAATCTATCATATTGAAAAACATCAGAAGAGCTGATGTTTTTAAATTTAAATGTAACCATTAGCCTGAAGCATATTATATACAGAGACTGTATAATGCAATTCTAATAAAAGAGCGATTCCTTTTTTTATGCGTATAATATTCATTTCATAAAACTCTTTATACTTTTGATGAAGTACTAGTTTATTCACCTGCTTTTGTTACTTTAGTAAACATATAGTGTAAAGAGAAAAAGTGCCAAACAAGCAGATGACACACTGTCATTCCTTTCAGCTTTTTTAAAAATTAAATCATTTTATTGGGGGCTTGTACAACTCTTATCACAATCCATACACACATCCATGTGTCAAGCACATCTGTACATTTGTTTCCCTCATCATTTTCAAAACATTTGCTTTCTACTTGAGCCCGTGGTATCAGCTCATTTTCCCACTCCCTCCCTCCCCGCTCTCCTCTCCCCCATAAACCCTTAATTCATCCTCATACTACCTAATTCTTGGCTGGTTTTGTTGACAATTACTCTATTTTCACTAGACTACTCCAGTAGACACAGTGTTATCTGAAATGCAGGTATTTTACCCTGAAAGAGTGCAGCCAATTTACCCAAGGCAAGTCAAAGGAAGATAGAGAAGTTTGATTGAGAAGGTACACCAGAGAGATCTCGGCAGCACAAAGCAGACTGCCTTTGTAGGGTCTTCTTTGAAGTCAGAAGACATAGAGACAAATACATTTGACTTTGGAATTTACACTTTGGGGAGTCACGAACAGCTGTTCTACATTAACTCGGGTTTCAGGGTAACCATGGGAAGCAACCTTTGACCATCAGCAAGCAAACAGAACAAGAAGGTTTGTTAAGTCTCAGGCAAGTCTCAGGATGCCTTTATTGACTGACTCGATATAGGGCCAGCTTTTAATTACTAGCAGGTAACTAAGAGAAGGCTCAAAGCAATTTCTGGCCCTTTTAGGAGACATCCACATCCAACCTGTGTGCTTTTGAGCAAGGTATCCAAAGGTAAACATTCCAGAGACTGCATTAAGTCCCTTAGACTAACTATTTTGTAAGGGGGATTTTTCCAAGTATACGAAGTAAAATAACCCGGATTACTTAGTCCCCACCCTATTTAACACTAAAAAGTATAACCAATTGCTTTTTTTCTGAGTCTCAAGGGTCAGCTGGGTTCGATACCTCCTGCGAAGAAGTCAGCACGAGCCGTCAGCTCGTGAAGCCAGAGGGGGGGGGCGGGGCACCCTGGGGACTACAACAACACGAGGCTTCAGCACAGGAGAAGGGTCATTCCTATATATGAAGACTAAAGCTGTGAGAAATCAGGGAGCCATGAGGTGAGCCACGGCATGGCTAAACCCCAACGCCTGCATCGAGGTGGATTTTCTTGGCTTCTTTGCAGATATTCCCAGTCTATTGTTACTGCTAAACTGGAAATTGAAAGGTGGAAGCAAAATATTCCCTTAAATCCTGGACATCCACAGTTAGGTTTCAGCAGGAGGTAGGTCAGGGTATTTCTATTTCTTGAAGTTTCTCTGACATAATCTATTGTTGTTAGGTGCCACTGAGAAGGTTCTAACTCATAGCGGTCTATGTACAACACAACGAAACACCATCTGTCCTGTGCCTCCCAGCAATTGTTCT